AGAGATAGGTTTCTGTAATCACAACAAGACATTTTTTAAAATACAAACTTAATTATTTATTTGATTTATTTATTTAGCCATATAAAGGACAGTTAATTTTCAAGATCAATGTATCATTTATTGACATTTTACAACACAGGGACAGGGACAGAACAGAATAAAATAAATAACAATACATACACACACTTATATACATATATACTGTAATTATACATGTATACACTCACACACACGTATACAGTATATGCAATGTCAGTGTAAAGATCCAATAATTTACGTATAATAAATATAATACAGTTATATTTAGGGCCCATTTCAACGGTAGCAGGAAGCAATGGCAGCTGCCCTGGTCACACACTTAAAAACTACATTAAAATATGTTTCTGAAAAGATTTTGCAGGAGAAATTGGCAATGCAGAAACAGACTCTTGATTTATATTTGAACAGCACTGCACTAAATGGGACCATAATTTACAAAATGAACATGTTGGTTGTTTGGAAAAAGACTTGAAACTAGTGACTTTGTCCACTAATTAAATACCGTCATTGGTTAAAAGATACAAACGTTTGTGGCGAATGGACAAGAAGAAGAAGAAGAAGAAGAAGAAGAAGAAGAAGAAGAAGAAGAAAGGATATTTCATAACATTTTGTCAATGCGTACCTTTGAACGGACCAGGACACAGTGACAGGGAATTCATCTGTAGGATTTAACAACATCTGTATCAGGTTTTCTCTGCTAGGCGGACTGATGGTCCACAGAGAGTTGGAGCTGCCTTTCAGCTCTGCGATGGTCAGGTCACTGTGTACGTAGTTCTCCAGCCACTGCAGGGCCTCCTAACAGTGGGCGACGAAACCACATATTAGGAACAGAACGTAGCAAAATTTCACATCAACTTGTACTAATTAGTATTGCACAACAAATTGTTTAGGTTAAAGCCACTATGTATAGAAATCTATTTTTGTCAGTCCTCCACTTTGATTCAACATGTATTCAATGGATTGCTATTAAATTTGTTCCCAATTTTTTTCAGCATCAGGTCAATACTTAGTTTTTGTTTGTTTACTTTTAGTAGAATCAATTAGTTGACTGACTGAGTGGATGACTGTTAGCATTAGCGTTAAATGAGTACTCGGCTGGAACGAGTATCCAGTACAGATAATGTACTTTTTGTAAAATGTGTTTTTTTATTTTCTAATAAACAACACATAGCACCTTTTATTAAAAGATCAAGAACATCATTTCTAAAGGCTGTTCTGTAATGAGCAACCCATATATCAATGTGAGGCTTAAAGGAACCACTTCTACACTACAAACACAGATTGTTTAGCTGGTTGAACAGATACAGATAATGGTGTACTCGCTCTTCCATAGTAGGCATACTTACACGCTAAACTTTGAACAGACTGTGAGCATGTCAGTATGCTAATTTAGCTTAGCATTTAGCTCAGAGCACAGTGTGTTTTGTTGAGATTATAACTAGAGAGCAGCAAAAACGGAAATCTTTAAATCTTACACATACAGACTTTAAAACTTGATTTACAGTGAGTTTGAAAGTGAATACACAAACTAGATCTTCTAGAGGAATATAACAAGTAAAGAACTATTTTTCTCCGGTGTGTATTCACTGCCTGGTCTAAAACTTGGTCGTACAACTTGTATGATGTAATCAATGTATTACTCTTTTTCAACATATAGAAATTATCCAAAATTATAAACACGACTGACATTTTGTATTTGTGTTGTATTTCTTGTACTTACGTCATGATTAGTATGGTTCTGCATAAATTTTGCAAACTCCTCATGTGTGACTTCCTTCAGTTGATTTTGCTGAGCGCTCATGGTGAAGATGGGCTGTAAGAAGAGGACATTGTTTTGGGAAAATTAGCGATAGTCTTAAGGCTACAAAAGTCTTGAGACTACAAACACTTGTAATGTTTGTGAGTAGGTTGCAGTTAGGTGTTACTGGTAAAATAAATCTATGCAATAATCAGATTGCACTGAATCTGTCCTAGATACACAATCAAACATTAAACCCTGCCACTTCAAGACATTTAAATAAACATCTGGCTTTACCTTAGAATGAATCACAGATGTATTTACTTCTTCAAGAGCTACTTCTACTCAGAGGAGACAGGATTTAATTTAATTTTGAAATTATTTGGCTTTAGGCGGAGCATCTCTTTGTTCCTCAGTTAAGATTGTTTGGGGCTCAGATGATTTGATAAAAGAAACTGTGTCCACACCTGAAAGCCAGCCAGGGTGATTTCAAGCGAAACATCCAGTGGCGCGTTGACGACTCCAGCTACAGACTTCACGAGAGACATGAAGAGCAGCGGGAACCAGACGATACAGATCAGCAGCATTACGATCATCCCTCCCATCCCGTACTTCACCACCTTCTTCTTCTTCTGGCCTCGCGGCTGGGGATACCTCTGCAGGAGGATGCGATAAAGGATGGTGAGATGTATTATTTGCATCAACACGTTGTTGTTTTTACATTACAGTGCAGTGTTTTCATAGACGGACCTCATTGTTCTATCTTTACTCCAGCTAATCTGATGCACAGTTAATGGCTACATGTTTTCTGTGCCTGGACTGTGCAGCGGTTATAAAAGTAAAGATGGAACAAAAACTTTCAGGACAGGAGGTACTTGCAGACTGATTCAGGAAAGACAGCCAGAGTGCATTATTTACTATAGTGAGACATTGAATGCAAGTATTTTTAGTGCACTTTTGGGAATATTAGGCACCACAGACTATCTATCTAATATCTAATATATCTAATATACAGTTCATTGCAGAAAATTAGAACTGAGCCAGAATCTAATATTCACATAAAATAAAATCAACTTCAACAAATCACAAAAGTAAATTTCAGCTTGAGTTCCAACATGACAGACTTTGGCTCTGAAACTGGTTCTTCTCACACTAGATGCCACAATGATAAACACCTTCTCAGACTCTCTCCAGCATTTGAGGATAAAGATGTGAGCGTAGATGTCCTCCACACAGATCCAGCTGGACAGAGACAGCGAGGTATCGGTCCAGACCCAGTCCATCACGGCTCGCAGCTCTGTCAGGAACGGCACCAGACGGAAACTGAAAACAAAAAACAGTCTTAGTTAGTCTGAAATATCAAAATATCAAATATCTTTATTTGGAAAATCATTGTTAATTTTGTCCAAGAGAAGGGCATTGCTATACATATTTGTAGTAAAATAAACACTTTTATATACTTTTATTTTATTTTTTCTACTCAAAGACCAAAACT